CATTGAAACTGATGTGCACAGGCACTTTTTAAAGATTTTGTTGTTCATTTATTGATAAGATACTAAATATTGTATAGGCATTTATTGGCATAGTATAGAAGTTATACTAAAGATAAGTTTAATTTAACTTAAGATAATTATGTACAATAATATAGTTTATATTATTTATATGTAGCCCACCTTTTTAGTTATATATGTTTATATATAAATTATTTGTTAGTACAAATCATAAAAATAAAGATAAAAACAGTTTTAAGGTTTTATTGTGGATGCTATTTGAAAGGCTATGAAACACCGTAAAGTATCGAGCTTAATATTTTTTTAACATTTAAATTTATTTAAAAAAAACTAAAGTTGTCATTCCTACAAATATCTAAGAAATAACTAGTACTAGTAGCTTATTTTAAAAATATTACTGAGTAATATATACTATATTTTAGATTATAAATGATACTATCTAAAAATTTCCAAATGCACAAATTTCATAAATTACTTTTGTATATTTTGAACATAATACATAAGTTTTCAAGTACACTTTAAATAAATTACTTAGTTTAATCTTATAAAATGTATAAACAGTAGTATACCAAATAATTTTTTAATTAAATAATTTTATAATTTTTAAAAAACTAACATTAGTTATTAATATTTTAGAATTTTTGAATTTTTCATCTGCCCAGTTTTCAGACAATATCTATTTTAGTTAAGTTTTTATAAACCTACCAAATATTTCGTCAATATTTATGTTTATAAAGTTACTAAAATTTGCAGAATGGTACATTTATATTCGTATATACATTTTAAAAACGATTAAAGTAAACCAATCGAATTGTTTTATTATCAAAATGTGTCTTAGCGTTACCACTGAGTAGAAGTGTTGTTAGTAGAATATTTTATAACTTAAGTCTTAGTGATCGCTTCTTTTTACGGAATAAAAATGTATCTCTCTGTATAATCTTTTTGAAACAAATTCATTCTAAAAAATTGAAAAATAATTTACGAGTAGAATGATTGGTGGTGGAAAAGTAATAATCTACTATGTTCAAGATTGTATACATTTTCAAATCGTTAGCGCTACTTTCAGCTTTATACTTGCTATAGACTATTCACTGGTATTGGTTCTTTATTCTGTTTATTGTTGAAAATTGTTCTAGCTTTTTGTATTATTGAGGTTTTGGTATATTATCTTAAATTTTAATAAATAATAAAATTAAAGATATATTATGATATTATTATTCTCTATATCTTTAAGACTTTGTTTTTTAAGTAAGTATTGGTTTCGAAATAGTAAATGTTGTAAACTGTGAAGATCTCATTCTGATCATTCAGCTATAAATATTAATTTAAGCACTTAAATAGTCTAGTAGCAATTATATATTCTCACCAAAAATACGAACATTAAATTGTCGATATACTAATCTAATATTCCAATAACTTCTGTAGTGGAAGAACAAAAGTTTGTACTTAATTATCACGTTATTACAGGCTATCAAGCTACCCTGTAGAGCGACAAGCTTGATACAAAATTGTTTACATACATGCTGAAATAGAGTAAATTTTTTTAAATTCTAAGATACAAGTTATAATAAAACAATCAAAATGGGCAGAAATAGTGGTGACACTGAAATATAAAAACCAGGTAACATAGAAATCATGAAAATCAACTAATTTATTGACAATGTTTTCTTAAATATTTGTAATACTATTAATCACCAAATTATTGCCATTAATGATGATTAATAACAATTTACTATTAACAGGCCCGGTATATCGGAACTTGTCTACACAATAATGAGAATAATTATCACACAGCATTAAAATTAAACAATATTGTACTGCGATATTCGTATATGTATATTCAACAAACATTGGCTATGCCTGTGTGATCGATATTTTATAAAAAAGATCGTTACCATATTTTTGTTACACATACAATTTACAAGAGCAGGATTTACTACATTATTTAAAATAAAATTAAAACTAATATAAAATTTTGTTATTTTTTTCACCATAACCCTCTTTATATAATAATAGTTTTAATCATTATTTAAAAATACACGAAAAATAAAAATTTAATTTGAATTACCTAACCTATATGATATGGTTGTTACGGTTATCCCAGGGGTCCATTTTGGCCCCTTGTCTTGCCGTATAATTCTCGAAAGAAATCACATAACAATACAATGCAGTACAAGAAAATACATATTCTGTTTATAAAAGACATAGTAAATTTCTTTAGTTAGTTTCGTCTCCCTTGGGACCTGCTGTCACTGGTTTATATACACACACTCTCTTATGTCGGTCGAATCTACGCAACGAATTGGCCAAATGCTTTTCATATATAAGAAACATTGTACAATAATATTTTATATTTCAAAAACCAGCTGCAATGAGAAACTTGTATCTCCTACAGTCAAGCTGCTATAAGAACAACAACAAGAAAATATATAAGCTTATTAGGGTTACTTCGGTATAGTATATTACTTTGGTATAATTATCTTGGTAACATTAAAAAAGAGAAATAAATATAATGAATAGTTGTGAATTCGGAATTTTGATTCTGGCACAAAAGTAAAAAATTTAATAGATGATAAAAGGAAACTTTATGAAATAACAATAAGTTAAAAGTTATTAAATACTCGTAGTGAAATATTAGCAAAGAATTTTATTTAAAGATATTATACAATATTACCAAGGAGTAATATAAACTATATATGTATACTAGGGATGCAATGAAATATCTTTAATGTATAAGAACTTCAACTTATGTACTAGGCTAGTTACCCGAGGAGTGATAAATTATCATTATTAACTACTGTGTTATATAAAACTGACTAAATAACTCGTATAATTTTGAAATACAACTGAAACTTGAAACAGAGATGTAAAGACATTATATCCTTTTTGGGTTTTTATGTATATCTCTTGCGCTGATTTACTCGTCGGTACCGCCTTTGATGACTAATATTCACACCCGATATTCAACAGATCGATCACATTTTCCCATATTTTTAAAATTTAAATATTGTTCTTAACTTTCTGGCTGAAAAAATATGGCTTGATAAATATCAAGTCTATTAACATTTCTTTTTTGCCATTCCTGTAAGGAATAGGATTTAAAGTGTTTGGTGACATACTTCATTCAAAAGTGGTTTCTTTGAGTTTAATCTTGCACTGTCGATTTCAATGTTTTTGTTTTATTTATATTAAAAGAGGTTTTAGTACGAGTAAATCCTACTATCTTTTTTAGTATGTAGAAATTTTTCAATTTTATTTTTCCTGTTTAGTTAATTAATATTGTATTATATATTATATCTGGGTACTACTTTTCCAAACATCGGTAGTTTTCTGTAATTTCATTGTCTTAATGGTCTTAATGCGAACGGTTTTTCGTTAGGTTAATTGCAGGTAGTTAGGTTAGCATTATTTCCGTTGTGCAAGGAGCATAAAAATCTAATAATAAATTATAAAAGTTCTTCCACTATTTCCAATTAAAATATTTTCTCAACAAAATAGCTTTTATATAATTACGATAGTTAAAATATATAAACATACATTTGAATGTGTATGAATAGCAAATTATGCGGTTATAGTATTTAAAATTTTAGTGCTAAAAGTATTTTCCCGGGAAACAGAGAGTGTTTTTTAAAATGGGAATTTTGCCAAAAAAACAACGCATTCTGTAATTCAAATAGACACTCTCATGAAAAAAATATTTTTCTCATTGTGTTCAGTCGCCGTCGATCATTTCTAAAGCGCAATCTTTTTCCTAGCAGTATTATTTGGCTAGGCTAAAATTGCTTATATAATTTAAAATATAAGTTCGGGTTCGAAACAAAAAATAAAAATAATTGTAAGTTAATAAACAAAGTTTCTAAATAAATCATTTTAAGTAAAAGTTAAGAAGTTTCATACTATGTGAGGATTTATTATTTTTATAAAAATGTATGACAACAATTAAGTGCATATGTGAAAAAATCGAAACTCTGATAAATACTAAATAAATATGTATTTAAAACACAACTTCCAATATATGTATAAAAATCCTTTAAACAAAGGAATTATGCAATAACCATTACAACATTCAGTAACGTTAAAGAAATTATAAAAATAAAAACAAAGAAAACATTAAATAATTCTAAAAATAATACACAATGCAAGTGTGCAAAACACCTGGAAACATAGTGTAAAAATTAGAAATAAATATATATGTACACATAGATATATATATATATATATATATATATATATATATGTATATTTATATATATATTATTTTTCAAATGAGCACGACTTTATTTATATAAAATACATTTTTTTCATAACTATGCCTGATGTTGTTATAAATAAAATGTGCTTTTTGACGTATCTAGATATTTTCCCATAGATCAATGTATATATGTATATAAAAAAACATTTATCATACTGTAATATACATATAAAACCAAATGAGCTTTGGGCCAAAAAAATATTGAAAATTGAATTTAACTAAAATAAAAATTTGCTTTGGTATTTGTATTTATGTTAATATAATATACATATAAATATTTTTATACATATGATAAACTATAATATAAAAAAAGTGTACTTTATATATGTATATATTTATTTTTATATTCTTTATACCCTTATTTATGTATTAAATTTAAAAAAAAATTACTGTATTAACAACAAAAACTTATATATTTATATTTGTATTATAAATGACAAAAAATTTACAAAAAATATTTACATATTATTTATATTGTATATTTACATATAATATTAATGTGTGTATGTAATACGTGTGTAATTTATATAATATATATATATATATAATATATATATAAATTCTTTTAAAATTATAAAAGAATAATTTTTAATACATTGACATAATATATAAAAATATTATTGATTACTTAAACAGTGACAATTATTTGACTAACTTTGAAATATATAGATTTCTTTATCTAATATTTTGCTAAATGCACTATTTTTCAAAAAATTTATCATACATTGTCAAGGATTATCACTCCATTCATTAGTATGTTATAGGTAATCAAAGTCATTTATTATGTACAAAGCTTTTTTCTCTCTGCTGTGTAAATCGATTTTCCAGGGCCCTTCTACAAGGTCGAATGTTTGAACATCTGAAGAATAGAACGTATAATGCAAAATATAACAATAAAGTAATATAATGATTTGGTACTTGTGTGCTACAGGTATTTCTTTATTAAGAGCAATTTAAGACCAGGAATTTAGTGTCACAATTATAATTTTTAATACTTTTTCACACTAATATGTCTGTATATGTATATATGTATATAATTAATTGGACGGTTGCCCGTCGTAATGATTTTGTTTGCAGTACACACAGAACTATTTAAGTGTAATTTTAAAAAATATGAATATCTGCCTCTAACATTTATATTATTAATTTAAGCTCATTTATTCTTGAGGTCTTATGTTGTATAAAAGCTTTTTATCTAATAATATACCATTTTAATCTGTCTGAGACTGTTGTACCGTTGTGAACTTACGTACAAAGGTCTCGAATTTAATAAAAAAAAATAAAACGTCTTTCATACATGTCAAAAAATAAATTTTTCAGTTAATTATTAACATTTTATTAATACTAAAAGAACGAAAAATTTTTTTAAATAATTGAACCAAACTAATAAATGAATTGCAAAAAATTTTATATTTTCATAAAATTTATAATACAATTTCAATATTAACTTTAGGCTTTGTTTGTCCAAATTACCTTAAATTATCAGACTTTCTTTAAAGACAGTACATTAGATATCAAAGGTGGTGGTGTAAACATTTCCCCTTTAATAATTAATGAAATAATAATAATAGTAATAATAACACAACTAACTTTATAGATGTTGACAGTAACTAATAAATATATAAAGAAGAGATAAAAAACAATGGAAATAATTGTACATGTACATATTTAATTTAACAATACTATATAAACAAAAATTCTTATTAAATTTAATTTTTGTAAATAAAAAAAAGAAATATTCAATGTTACTACAAGATTCATTAGTAATGTAATAATAACAGGTTAGTGTAATGAATTAATATATATATGTACATATATATATATATATATATATGTATATTTGTTAATATTTTTATTACACGCAATAATAGTTTTTTTATGTTAATATCATCATTCCCCAACAGATATCGATAATTGTATGTATTTCTTTATTTATAACCTCAATTTTATTAGCTTCAGAAGTACATAAAATTATTAAAATTTTTTTAAGGCATCAATCCTTTAAACTAGCGATGCTCATATGTTTTACTCATATATTTATTAAAGAATGGTAGGTATATATTCCTTAAAGTTTTGTATAACATCTTATTTAATACCTCTTTTAAAAAAATAGAGATGTGAAAAACAATATTAATTATTTATAGAAAAATGACTACGTAATAAATAGGTCTAGTAGAAGTTCTAAAATTGTTTTAATTTAAGTCAGTTTTTTATATTTATTAATTTTACCTCAAGAAATAAGTAACACAAGTTATCATGTTATTATTAACATTTATTCAAAAACGTTTATGTTAAGTCATAGCAGAATGATAATAAAATTAAATTTCAATATCAAGTCTTTATATCTTACGTAAGGCATACATATTCATATACACATACATATAAAACAACTTTTACTAATTGTAATGTATCTAAAATATATTCTTTTGATAGTTTATTTATTTACAGAATATAAATAATAATAATCAAAATAACTTCTGAAAAACCAAACGCTAATGCTGTATTTTTACTCTTTTATTGACATGAAATACTAACAGTTATCGAAATATGTGTATGTAAAAAATGTATTGAATATACACTATAAAAAATTATATAATTTTACTAAATTGTTTTGTATGTTAATATGTATATAGTAAGAGACAAAATGTTATTAAACATAATAGCACAAGACACTATATTTTATAATAAAATATATTAATCTGTTTGAAAATATCTGTGTACTCATGAAATTTTAAAATGTATACTCATGTTAAAAATCATTAACAATAATGTTGTTGAAGTATATGAACATTAAAATGATATAGACTACTAATGGAAATCTGTTTTAAAACGTTCAAATAATATAAAATAAAATTTTTATCATATACTTTAATGTCATTATATAAAATTAAATTTTTTTTCTTTTTTCATTTTAACAAAATAAAATGAGGAATTGTTTGCAATTCCTCGTCCTTAGTTTGAGAAAAATAAATTTATAGAAAAACTGTATGTTTATTGCAATATATGTTTTATTATGAAATTCGAAAAATTAATTTTAAGTAATGTTTTTGTGTTAAAAAAATGACTTATCAAAAATAAATCGTTTACGCGTGGTATGACAAATACAATGTGGAAATAACCAGGGTAGTATTTGTGTTTAGTACCTTTTCAATTTTATCGGTCAAATACTCAAGATTAGAATCGATTAAATATGTAGACAAAAAACATTGTTGTATTACGTTGCGCTTTTAGGTAGAATACTTATGAATTAAACACATAGAAAAAATTTCTCCTTGCCTGATGCAAAAGTTAAATATATAAATCACATTGTAAAGTTTAGTGGTTGTAAAGATATTTTAACACCTTAAGAGACACGTAAGTTTGTAAGTTTTTTTTTTTTGCTTTAGTAAATCACATTTGTTATGATGAAAATTCGTTTGTTAAATGTGAATGCGTGAATTGCTTGCAAAACGCGATATTTTCTAATTATAAAATTGGTAACAAAAAATTATAGTGATTAAAAAGAAGAATTTACGAAAAAGTAATTTGAATAAATAATATTCTTAATAATGTGAAATAATTTTAATCGTGTTTATATTAATTGTCTTTTTATATATTATAGAGTTGTGTGTGTCGTCATTTAAGTAACTATGGAAGACGGTCATTCTAAAACCGTCGAACAGGCCTTAAATTTTTTTGGCACTGATCCAGAACGTGGGCTTAGCGGAGATCAAGTAAAAAATAACCAAAAGAAATACGGACCAAATGGTATAAGCAATGTAAATTTTTTTCTTCTAATTATTAAAATACACATATTTCTACAGAATTACCAACGGAAGAAGGTAAATCAATATGGCAGCTCGTATTAGAACAATTCGACGATCTTCTGGTTAAAATTTTACTTTTAGCAGCTATTATATCCTTTGTAAGTTATTAATTTAGTATCCTTTCATCCTTAAAACTATTACACAATAAGCACAAAAACCATATAAGTTAAAAGATAAGTTTGGAAAAGATTATATATAAATGTGTGTTTCACTTTTAATTAATACTGAGAGGCTCTTAAATGTTATTCCTCTTAAAAGCCTCTTAATCTGCACTTATGTGCGTGTCTTGATTTTGTTGTTGTAACAAAAGTATTTTAAGTAAATTTATCATATCTTTTACAATAACAATATATAAATAAACTAATATTCTTATCTATATTTAATTAAGTATTTAAAATTTAAACATAAAATATTTATTTTAGGTTTTGGCGCTTTTTGAAGAACATGAAGACACATTCACAGCTTTTGTGGAACCTTTAGTTATATTGTTAATTTTAATAGCAAACGCAGTTGTCGGTGTTTGGCAAGAAAGAAATGCAGAGTCAGCTATCGAAGCTCTTAAAGAATACGAACCAGAAATGGGCAAAGTTGTGCGACAAGACAAATCTGGTATTCAAAAAATAAGAGCAAAAGAAATTGTACCCGGCGATATAGTTGAAGTTTCTGTCGGTGATAAAATTCCAGCAGATATACGTATCACTCACATATACTCAACTACACTCAGGATAGATCAGTCTATCTTAACTGGTGAATCGGTTTCAGTAATAAAGCACACTGACGCGATACCTGACCCTAGGGCGGTTAATCAAGATAAGAAAAATATACTTTTCTCAGGCACAAATGTTGCTGCAGGAAAAGCAAAAGGTGTTGTAATTGGAACTGGACTTAACACAGCTATAGGTAAAATTCGCACAGAAATGTCAGAGACTGAAGAAATTAAAACTCCATTGCAACAAAAATTGGATGAATTTGGTGAACAATTGTCAAAAGTTATTTCCATCATTTGTGTTGCCGTATGGGCAATTAACATTGGTCATTTTAATGATCCCGCCCATGGAGGATCTTGGATTAAAGGCGCTATTTACTATTTCAAAATTGCAGTAGCTTTAGCTGTAGCCGCTATCCCTGAAGGTTTGCCTGCTGTCATTACCACTTGTTTGGCTTTAGGTACACGCCGTATGGCAAAGAAAAATGCTATTGTACGCTCACTTCCATCTGTAGAAACTCTTGGTTGCACTTCTGTAATTTGCTCAGATAAAACAGGAACACTTACCACTAATCAAATGTCAGTTTCTCGCATGTTCATTTTTGATAAAGTTGAGGGCAACGATAGTAGTTTCCTTGAGTTCGAGTTAACCGGTTCCACATATGAACCAATTGGTGAGCTGTTCTTAGGTGGCCAAAAAGCTAAAGCAAGTGAATATGATGCATTACAGGAATTGGCTACCATTTGTATTATGTGCAATGATTCTGCTATTGATTACAATGAATTCAAACAATGTTTCGAAAAAGTTGGTGAAGCAACTGAAACTGCTTTAATCGTACTTGCAGAAAAATTGAATCCATTCTCAGTCAACAAATCTGGATTAGATCGTCGTTCTGCCGCTATTGCTGTACGTCAAGAAATTGAAACGAAATGGAAGAAGGAATTTACTCTTGAATTCTCTCGCGATCGTAAATCAATGTCTTCCTATTGCACACCATTGAAATCATCTCGCTTAGGTACTGGTCCAAAACTTTTCGTTAAGGGTGCACCAGAAGGTGTTTTAGAACGTTGCACACATGCCAGAGTTGGTACAAGTAAAGTCCCATTAACATCTGCTCTTAAAAACAAAATCCTATCACTTACTGGTCAATATGGTACTGGCAGAGATACTTTACGTTGTTTGGGTCTTGCTGTTGCTGACAGCCCTATGCGCCCAGAAGAAATGGACTTGGGTGATTCAACGAAATTCTTCCAATACGAAATCAATTTGACTTTCGTTGGTGTTGTTGGTATGCTTGATCCACCAAGAAAGGAAGTATTTGATTCAATCGTACGTTGTCGTGCTGCTGGTATTCGTGTAATTGTTATTACTGGTGATAACAAAGCCACTGCTGAGGCTATTTGCCGTCGTATTGGAGTATTTGGTGAAGATGAAGATACTACTGGAAAATCATATTCTGGTCGCGAATTTGATGATCTATCACCTGCTGATCAAAAGGCTGCATGTGCACGATCTCGCCTATTCTCACGTGTAGAACCACAGCACAAATCAAAGATTGTAGAATACTTACAAGGTATGAATGAAATTTCAGCTATGACAGGTGATGGTGTAAACGATGCTCCTGCTTTGAAGAAAGCAGAAATTGGTATTGCAATGGGTTCTGGTACTGCTGTTGCAAAATCGGCGGCTGAAATGGTACTTGCTGATGATAACTTCTCATCAATTGTGTCTGCAGTAGAAGAGGGTCGTGCAATTTACAATAATATGAAACAATTTATTCGTTATCTTATTTCATCCAACATTGGTGAAGTAGTCTCTATATTTTTGACCGCAGCTCTTGGTCTTCCAGAAGCTTTGATTCCTGTACAACTTTTGTGGGTCAATTTGGTAATACTCTTATATAATAATGTGTAAACATTAAGATATAATATAAGTTATTTAAATAGGTAACTGATGGTCTCCCAGCTACAGCACTTGGCTTCAATCCTCCAGATTTAGATATTATGGAAAAACCACCACGTAAAGCTGATGAAGGTCTAATTTCTGGCTGGTTGTTCTTCCGGTAAATATTTTTGTTTACTTTAAAAGACTGTGGCAAAAAAAGAATTACTGATTTGAAAAACAAAAACATATACATTTGTTATTTACAGCCTTGTTGTGATATGTAAAAAAATAACTAAAGATTTTTATTTTGAAAGACTATATAAACTATATAAATTAAAAAATTTAGTTATAAAGAAATTTAAACTTACATTATTAAAACTATATATTCTCTTCAGTTATATGGCTATTGGTGGTTATGTTGGTGCCGCTACTGTTGGTGCGGCGGCATGGTGGTTCATTTTTGCTGAGAATGGTCCACATCTAACTTACTGGCAGTTGACACATCACTTGGCATGTTTGGGTAACGGAGACGACTTCAAGGGAGTTGACTGTAAAATCTTTGCTGATCCTCATGCAATGACAATGGCACTTTCAGTACTTGTAACAATAGAAATGTTAAACGCCATGAACAGGTATATTTGAGTATAAATTTCATTTTTTTAAACTTTTAATAATGTGAATGATATTTTTCTTAGTTTATCTGAAAATCAATCTTTAATAACAATGCCCCCATGGTGCAATATGTGGTTGATTGGTTCAATGGCTCTCTCCTTTACATTGCACTTTGTTATTTTATACGTGGATGTACTTTCCGTAAGTGTACATATAGTATTTGTATAAATTGTAATAATTTAATTATAATATTTCATATTTATGATGTGTATTCTAATTTAATATATAATTTTATTTCTATTAATAGACTGTTTTCCAAGTTACACCGTTGTCTGGCGAAGAATGGATGACTGTGATGAAATTCTCAATTCCTGTAGTTTTATTAGACGAAACACTTAAGTTTGTTGCACGTAAAATAGCTGATGGTGAGAGCCCCTTTCTGAAAATGCATGGAATAGTGTTAATGTGGGCTGTATTTTTTGGCCTCTTATATGTTATAACGCTTTAAATATAACAACTACTTTTAAATTAAATAAGTAACAATAAACAAAACAAAGAAACCGATACTAATTTGCATTATAACAAACGATGCTAACAATATAAGTCTTTTATAATATTTAATTTAATATAAAATTTTAAAGTATAAATTTTTTAGTAAATCAACTATGTATAAAAATTTACAATAAGTTATAATAACCGAATAACATAAATTTACAAACATAGAGTTAGCAAATATTGTTTTTGTTATTTCACTTTTTGCTAAAACAAAAAAAGCCTGTATAATGTCAACTCTGTACAAAAATCGAAAGTTCGATAATATTGACTTAATCGAATTAAATTTAACTGAATTTAATTTTAACTGAATAACTTCCAAACTGATACTGATATCTGCATGCAAAATCCGAACTGGTTCACATACTAAACAATTTGTAATGTTGTACGATTAGCACTTTAATTTGAAGGCAACACCAATATAACATATTATATAAATGCAAAATACGATCTTATTAGGTATTGAAATGCGTTTTGGAGTTCTTTTTTAATTTTCATCCTTTGCTTTAAAAAGTAGCACATACAATCAATAATATATAATTTATATACTCTTATGACAATAGCTATATTATGTATTGACTTTCTACTTATTGCCCTCCTTTCCATACATATTTAACGATTCTTCCCTATTATTATAATATATTTGAAATGATCGCATTTCTCATAATTTCAAACTTATCGATTTCTCCAAGCATTTAATTCAATTGTGATATTCTTCAGGGGAATCAAAATAGTAGATCGTTAGTAAAATGACAGATAATTACATATGTATGTTCATTTTAATATATTTCTATTGACATTGATTTTTGTAAAAACAGATTATATATAAATGTTTTTATTTTTATTTTTCCGTTGAGGAAGTTGAGAAAACTTTTTATGTATTTATTGTTCTTTGTATTATAGTTTAATATATGTCAAGGGTTGTCAAATATTTGAGAACTAGAAATATGTTCCAAAAATCTACAGAACATCCATCTCTTCGATGTAATTTTTAAACCATATATAGTTAACAGATTTTTGTGTAATATAATAACAGAAAATTAGAATAAAGTTAAAATAATATAAATATGATACAAATCGAATTGTGCTAGTAAAAATTTAAATAATTAAAAAAATTTGTTATAAAATATTAGGAATTTCATTTGTTGTATATAGTGTTTCAAAGTCTTAAATGTATAGCATAAAAGTGTTTTATATCTAACAGTGTACATGTATGAAAAGTTTGATATGATTCAACGAAGTTCTTCGAATGATGAGAATGCTGAGAACGATTAGAACAACTAATTGCTTTTTGTTTGTACTATACTAAACAACCAAAGGATTTAAGTTGACGGAAGATAGGCTTGCTAAAGTTAAAACGTTTTTTTAAAACTTGTAATTGGTACATCGCAGCTTGTAAAACAAAAATAAGATTTTAATCGTCGAATGACTAAAAATCGTATTTCCATCAAATTTAATATAATTGACAACATAAGCATAAACATATTTTTAAATCCTTTGGTTTGATTAACTGTGTATGTAAAACTTAAAAAATAACATTATTTTCAGAGACACTACAAAGTTAATTAAAAATTTTAATATTTTTATACAGTTAATCCCGACTTTCATTAGGACTCCCCCCAAAAAGTGTGCTGTTAAATTTTACAATAAAGAAATAACTGTTTTGGATTTCACTGATGATGGCTAAACCATTTACACCTCATAAACCCCAGAGAAAAGCTTGGTCATTATTAAAACATAAATAATTTTTTATGAAAAATACATTTCGGCTAACTTTCTTTTATTGTAATATTAAATGATTTGGAATTTAATGTAATTATTTATTTTTCTATTATGTAAGAAAAACCTTATAAAAAATATTAAACCAACCGTTAAGTGGTTTGAAACAAATAAATATAATTTTTTAGCCATTAATACCACTTACCACCAAACCATAAACCCTGCTGATTCCTGCTTGACATTAATTGGTTACACTTGTTATTACATTTATGAGCGATTAATATTTAAATTCGTTTTTATAGTTCCTGAAGCTGTCGTCGATAAGTGGACCCACTGAAATAAATACCGAAACTAAAGCAAGAGTTTCCAACAGTTTACTTGTTTCAGAGCTGCCGTTTATAATATCGGATCCGAATCAATTTAGTGTTTTGTTAACATATATTTGATTTAGTCCTAATAAAAATAAAAACAAACTTATTTTCTTTTTTTTATTTCCTAAAATTAAAAAAAAAAAGGTAAAAAGGTAAAAAGGTAAGGTAAAAAAGGGTAAAAAAAGAAATAAAACATAAAAAATTGAAAAAAATGAATACATACGACATCAACACAAATATCCGTAAGAGAAAGTTTGGTTGGATTGGTCACACCTTACGAAAGCTGTGAAGTGAAATTTGTTTTCAAGCCCTTACGTATAATCCGCAAGGCAATAGATGAAGAGGAAGGCCTAAGATTACCTTATCAGAGTAGTGGCAGAAAGAAGGCAAAGATGGAGGTCATTTTTTAAATAAACAAGTGCTTGAGAATAGCGAATAATATTTTTCTCAAGTAGATCACACAAAAATGATAAACGGATGTTTACAATAATATGAATTTTTGAAGATTTCGTGAACTTTTTCTTTTTATGTTCTGCTGTAGTTCCTCTAAGGGAATTTGAAAACAATGGCCTAAAAACCATACACAAAGGGAGATTGTTTGAAATAAGTGATGGACGAAGCCAAAGATCAATAGGGTTAAATTAGTTTTTGCATTAGTATATAAGCACAGTTGGGCATCGTCGTAGAAAGTACTGCTTTAGTTAGGGAACACATTTTTAATTGATGTGTTGATATATCCTGTCTATCAACTGACCTCAATTGGGCTAGGACAATTTTTGCTACTTGAGCAAAGAGGCTGTCGTTCGTAAAGATATCAGGGAAACGACTGATATTGATATGATAGCACTGATGGCTCTATTGGAGTAGGTATCGATTCATGATACGAAGACGGATCGATGCGATGGGTGCAGAGTAGAGGGATAGCTGTACTAAATATGTTGCCATTAGCTTGCACATCTACATTGTGACCGAAAAGCTTTCGGAAATTCTCATTTAAAATTCGCGCGCTGTATATTTTTCGATATTTTAAGTTTATGTAGTTTGGCAGCACTGTCCTTAATTACTATGCCAAAAATGAGCGCGATCTGTCAGACAGTTCGTTTACGGCAGCTGTTGAAACCAGTTCACCTCAGTAGTGCGTTGCGAAAAAAACAATGGAAAAAAATATTGAACAAAGAGTTTGCATCAAATTTTTTGTTTCGAACGAAATTTCGTGTGCAGAATCGTTGCGAATGCTACAAAAGGCTTATGGGGAATCAGTTTTATCGAAAACTCAAGTTTATGAGTGGTACAAAGCCTTTCAGGACGGTCGTACGACCGTCGAAGACATGCCGCGTTCTGGACGACCTTCGACCCCTACCACCGACGAAAACATTGAAAAGGCAAAGGAAATCGTGTTCCAAAATCCTCATGTGAGTGTTAGAGAGATAGCACGAGAGCTAGGCATCGGTCGTGAAATGGCTCGTTTGATTTTGGTGGACAATTTGTGTATGCGACGTGTCAACGCTCGGCTTGTTCCGATTCACCTCAATTTGTTCAACATTATCAACGATTTTAAGGCCAAAAATTCAATAAATACCATCGAACAGCCACCGTATTCACCTGATCTTGCACCGTGTGACTTTTTCCTGTTTCCCAAACTCAAATTACCACTCAGAGGAACGCG